AACAAACTACAACGGTCATGAGTTCAAGAATTTGTTCTTCGTTCCTCGTGAAAATACATTCTATCAGATACGAGGGAGAAAGGGTAAAGTTAGTTTGAGCGTTTATGACTACAAGCATAATGGAAAGTTTATACAAGCATATGATACAAACGGTAAGCGTGTTTCATTAGCTTTGTCAAAACTTACAGGTATAAACTATGACAGTGATTTTGACCTATATGAAGAAGAAAGTGAGTCAGAAGATTATGAGCTGTTATATGAAGCACAGCAATGGGAGGAGTTGCAATCCTTTTGTAAGTGAGAACGTTTATTTTTTTTACATTAGTGAGGTGAAGTGGTTGGCGGCTTTGTAAATATTTAAGGTTAAGTTAGTGTTGTTGTTTGTGTTGTAAAATATACGTTAACGGTTTTGTAAAGTGTCAAATTCACATATCATGGGTAAGGAGGCGTGCAGTGCCGCCGTACCCTTGATATGTATACTAACTGACGTAACTGGTGGGGATGTATTATATTGTAAACCTCCTAACTTTCCACAAGGTTTAACATCGGATGACGACATAACGACGATGAGAAACATTAGATGTAAAGATGTTTATGTCATGAAGGATGAATATAATACTAAATTCACTGCTCAAGATTTATATGACAAGAAAGCAGACAAAACAGAGCTTCAAACATTAAAGACAGAAATACTTCAAACATTATATCCTATAGGCTCTATTTATACGTCAATGAACTCAACAAATCCAGAAACAGTTCTGGGTTTTGGAACTTGGACTCAAATAGTCGACAGGTTTTTGTATTGTGCAAACTCTTCAAAGGAAACAGGTGGAAGTAAAACGATTTCAGGTGAAAATTTACCTGCACATAGTCACTACATAGATTTAAGTACATCTCAAGCAGGTTGGCATAAGCATAGATATTGGGATTGGTCAGCAATGATAAAAGGTAAAGGATATGATGTTAAAGACAACGTTAAGTTTGCTATAAATTGTTACTGGAGTAACACTGAGGGAGGAGGAAACCATACACATCACGTTTCAGGATATACGCAAACAACGGGACAAAGTAAAGAATACATGCCACCTTACATGACAGTTTACGCATGGTATAGAAATGCTTAGTCGTCATTTTCAACTTCTTTAGCATATTCGTCAGGAGTTGTCTTATATTTGTTAGGAACTGTCTTTGAAAGTATACCACCTTGAACTTTGACAAGTTTGAAACGAGGTCTGACAATAGTAGTTTTATCTTCTGCTTGCAGTGTGTACATTTTGCCATGTTTGCCTAAAACTTCATAATATTCTCTTGTATACTTTCTTCTATTTTTACGAACACGAATGTGAGTACCTGTCGGGTTCCCATTGTTGTCATAGTCAATAGTATTTTCATATGGGTCGCGTTTAGGTATTTCTATTTTTACTTTGTCACCTTTCTGAAGTTTGAAGCCCGGCATTCTTTCTTGTTTGTCTCTTTTGACTAAATTATTAAATATATAGTCTTTCTCTAAGTCAGGGTTGTTTTTCATTTCTTCGGGGGAGTGGTTTCCCAAACCTTTTTGTTTACGGCTATTGTAAATATTTAAAACTTGTCTCATCTTTGCCATGGAGAAGTGTCTATATTTGTCGTCATATGACATTTCATTTGCTTCACCACCTTGTGGTTGGTTTAAGTCTCTTAACATTTTTATACAAACCGTCAATGACACCAAGAGCAGAATGGTTTTGGTCGACAATGAAATATTGGTTTACATTTTTTGAACGCAGATAGTTTTTTACATCATCTGATTTGAAAGAACTTTCACAGTCAGATGTCAGTTTTGTTGGATGGTATTTGTCAACGAATATTGTCAAAGCAGTTTTCACATCTAAAATATTTTTGGACCATAATGGTATGGCTTCACAGTATCTTGTGTTTTGACCGACAAATATTAGCCAGTATGGTGGTCCATCTGTTCTAACTCTCGGAATGTTTTCCAAGATATCCATAAACCAAGCATTTGGTGTTGAACTAAAGATTTTTATCATGAGTGCTTTCTTTGTCGCTTTAGAAACATAGGGGTCCTTGTTTGGATTCGTCATTTTTATCCTATAAAAATGGGTTTATTTGGCGCATTAGCAGGAGTTGCATCCAGATTTTTGCCCGCAGTGGGAACAATAGCCAGAGGTGTATTTGGAGTTGGAAGGAAGATTTTGAGTACATTAGGTATACTTAAAGAGAAAGCACAACCTATTATACAAACTGTACAGAAAGGTTGGGATGTAGCACGAGATGCAACAAATCTTATTCCAAATCCTGAAACAAGAGGAAAAGTTCAAGGATGGATGGACAATGTAGGAAGACAAGCAGGAAACTATTATAACAAAGCAAATGACTACTATAACCAAGCAGGACACTATATGGACCAAGGTGAAAGATTCTTTAACAGAGGATATAACCATGCACAACAATGGGTAAACAATAACCAACCTCAACCGCCTCAAACGTGGGGAATGTAAAGTTTTTTACTGAGATGAAATGAACAATACAGCATTGAGACAAATGGGTTCAAGATGGATTTGTCGCTTCCAGCAGTTACACCACGTGTTTGTCAAGTTCTTCCTATACCTCAGGAAGTTTTAGACCGACTTAAAAAACAACAACAACCAGTTGAAAACAAACCAAACTAAAATTTTTTACTGAGATGAAATGACCGAAGAAGTTGAAACGGTAGATTTGACACCACAAACAAAAGTTCAGAACCATTGTCAAAACCTGTCAAAGAACTTACAGATGAAGAGAAAAATTCAATAATAGAAAGTGCCAGGTCTGGAAATACAAACCCTAACTACAAAGTCACTTTTCATAAAAATGGAACGCAAGTATCTCAAAAAAAGAAACAGACTCTCACAAATAAAATATTGAAGTCTGAAGGAGCTTTCGAGACAACAGATGGAAAAGTTTACTTCACTGACAACAGTTCATTATAGAACATCTCATTGACTTAGAGTCGAAATATTCTAAACTTTACAACAAACACAAAAAGTTGAAAGGAAACAAAAACAAATGGCATATGATATTTATGAAGATGTTGACGACACAACTGTTCCTGCAAGTGAAGTAAAAGTCAGAGAAACCGAAAAGTGACGAAAAACCGATAGAAGAAGAAAAACCAAAAAACTGAAGATAAACCAAAACCAAAGTTTAGTTTGGAAACTAAACCAAGTCAACCTTCATTAGCTGGTATGGTTGGCGTCAAAGACTTATGGCAGCAGGCGGTTATGTTAAGTAAAGAAAAAAATATTTTTTTTTCTTTTTATAAAAATGCCCCCATATAGAATGGATAGAAAATCTGCTAGAATAAAAGCAGAGTTGCAAAGATATGGTTGGAGAGTTTCGAAGAAGTTTAAATATAGGAAGGGAAGACCCATAAAAGTCTATGACAAATTGTCTGGTCTTCGCTACGAAATGGATTTGGAAACAGCACGTGCAAATTATCCAAACAGACTAGAGAGGTTAGAAGAAGAACGTCTTATGGACATGCCTTTCGATGTTAGTGAACCTCAAGTTGAAGGACACGACGGCTTTGCCAGATTCTACTGGAAACATGACGAACAATTGCATCCTTTGAGAAGGAAAAAAGGTAGTGCAGAGGATGGTCATGCTCCCATGGAAAGAACAAGATATGCATATGAGAAGTATCGTGAAGTTAGAAGTCAAATTACATCTGTCGAACCTTTACAGTAAACTTTGACGAAGGAAAGAACAAAGAAGGCTTCATGGGAGTACTTGCTGCAATTCAAGATGGAAATAAGAAAGGATACAATCTCAGATTGACCATAAACAGATTTGGATGGTCACATTTACTATGCACATGGCAATGTCACAACAGCTGCAATGCTTCTTGACGCTTTCAAGACTACAAAGAGAGAACAAATGGTTGACTCCGACTCAGACATTTTGAATGCAATTGAAGGAATTGCAAGTGTCAAGTTCGAATGGTACCAACCTAACCCTCAAGCAGTCAGACAACATGCTGGATACTTCCCCTTCATAAATAAGTCTGACATTGACTTGACAAGGTATGGAATTTACAATTCAATTGAAAACAATTGTCAATGAACCTTGCATTCTTACATGTCTCAGGAACTCTGGTCTTGTTACAGAAGAGAAGATGAAGTATCTTGAGTCATGTGTGAAGACAAGGTACATTCTCAGAGGTCAATTGGCAAAAAATTGCACCGTTGGCAAATGTCAATATCCGAGTCAGCATACCTACAGCTAAAGGTTCTTCACATGACGACTATGTTGTTGACAAAGACTTACCATGGTTGAAGATTGTAATTGTCCACAACCACTTCATGTTGAACGAAAGTCTTACAAACCCATTGTTCGGAAAAGGCAAGTGCAACATTGTCAGAGCTGTAAAACATTCTTTTCGAGAAAGGTTTGTTGGAACCAATTCCAGATGACAAGCTGACAGAAACTTTTGTACCAAAAGACGAAACAAACTTTTCACTGTTAGCAAGACCAAAAGTTGTTCCAGACAAAGTTCTAGTACAAAAGAAGTACACAATTCCACAAGGAGTTGGATTGTTCGGATACCAACCTGAACCAGAAGAACTTCCAATGAGGTTGCAAGAACTTCAAGATGCTATAAACAAACTTCCATTGAGACATCCAATTGACGTCAAATTGTATTGAGAGCATCTGAGTTAGGTCAGAAGGTTTTATATGAAACAGGTTGCTTCGACGATGTTTATGAGATAACAGGAGAAGTTTCTCAGAAGATAAGAGACTCACTTGAATTTCCACAAACTGGACCAATTGGTTGCGACAAGTTCGACTCAAACGAAAAGATATACTATGTCGACCTTAACGCTGCATACATGAGGTTTGTCCAATATATTCCGACTGGAATTCCAAACGAAGATGGTGAGTTCCCGGGAAGGAACTATACAGTTGGAAAAGTCATACAACAACTGTATGATATTAGGAAAGCTTCAAACCCCAAACTTGCAATGACACTCAAATTGCTTATGAATTCGACATGGGGATATTCCATTAAGAAACCTCAAGAGATGAAGAGTAAACATTATGAGAAGGTCGACAACTTTGTTGAAAGGTTTTCTCCTTTTTTTTTGAAGTACGAATTCACTCAAGGTCAAAGTGGCTTAGTAACCACATTAAAACCTATTGTCGAACATTGGTCTTACCCTCAGTTCGCAAAGGCAGTCCTTGACAACTACAACAAATTCTTCTCCGAAGTCAAATCGAAAGTTGTGGTTTACTATGAGAACATTGACGCACTCATGACGAACGAAGAAGGGTACAACAAACTCATTGAAATGGGTTTAGTCAGTGAAAAGATGGGCTGTTTTAAGCTAGATAAGGTATTTTCCGAAGTTCATGTAATATCGAAAAGGAAATATTGGGGCATACTTGAAGACGGCACAGAAATAAAACATTGCATGAAGTAAAAATTTATTTTTTAAAAAGTGACATTTTTTAATTTTATTTGAAATGTACGCTGAGTTTGTTGGAGAAGACCGTTGGGAAACTTGTTTGTTAGATGAGAAATATGAAATGTCATACCATTTTAAAACAATATATTTTTACATATATTAAATGCTTCAGGTTGAAAAACAAAGAACAAAAGTAGCAGATACAAAACCGTTAGACTATATCTTTACAAATGCTGGTAGGACTATTTCAGATGAAGAAATTTCATCCCGAGTATACAGGTTTGACTATCCAATTCGTTGGCTTCAAAGTCCTTCAGATGCAAAGGCAATAGGATTTAGAAGAGTTTTGTTTTCAAATAGAACTAACGCATTTATGTTCGCAGTATATTTTCATGGGCAGTATAAAGGTTCTGATGGTCTAATAGACAAATTTGACGAAATGAGAATCTTTACAGTTCGTTCAGACGAAAGTCTTGAGAAAACTCTAAATGACTTTCAAACTCAAATGAACAAATATTATTGGGAATTTCAAGAAAAATACGACTCTTTACTAAATGGAACATACTATCTGAAACTAGAATATGACAAGATGAACTCCACCGTTTCATTTCAAAAGATTGAAATTAACCCTCCAAGAGATACAGAGTTTTTATTTTGGAAAGTAGACAAACGTTCTTGGGCACAATTTCTTCGGTTACTAAACCAGAACGAACCATTACCACCAGATGGTCCATTTCAATTTATACTTCCACCAGCAGATTTGACAGTTTATAGAAACGTGTTTGACCCTCAAAATGTTATGTGTCATGCAAGTTTCAGTTCAAGCAACAATAGTTTTCTATGTATTGGTAAGGACTTTTATGACTTTGCTTCTAAATTCTACGAACCACCTAGTAACAGTTTCTCTGACTTTCAAGTTTGGTTCACAACAAATGGTGTGCAACATATTATTCCATTGTACTATGACTTTTATCTCGAATTGTCTTTCATATATAACTACGGAAAAGTGCTGAAAAAGTATTGAATGTGAAGATATTAGAAAATAACATTTTTTCTAACATCGTAGAAAACTCATGAAAACAATTTATTTTTGACACTTTCACAAAAAACATAAAAAAGTGCAGTTAAACGTTAAGGTTTACTGAACTGGTTGGATGTCGCCTTCACAGGTTATGTAGAATGGTTGACCCGAGAAGCGAAGGAGAGACTGAATTGCCAATTTCATATGGGGTAGGGGGTTCTCCTTGTTTGGAAGTAGTATCCAAGGACGCTTGGCAAAGAACTTTATAATGGCTTCCTTCTTTGCTTGCTTTATGTCGTCGTAGGCTGTCCCGTCTGGTATTTGAATTGGAATTTCGGTCGAAGTCTCGAGATTCAAGACAGCCCTTCCAGAAATAGTGGTGAACTTGACCTTGGGCTTCATGACCTTGCGCAAGTAGTCTTTTACGCAGTCGTTTATTTAAATTAGGTAAATTGCCTCGTCAAATCCTTCTGGCATTCCGAGTCCTTCCATCCGACAGGAAAATATTTTCCCGACAACAGGAAAAAATTTTCCTTCCAACAGGAAAAAATTTTCCTTCCGACAGGAAGAACTCTTCCAGTTGTCCGTCCGTAAACCATTCAAATTTTCGAAAATTGAGAACTTTTTGGTCGAACTTCAGAAAAAGTTTTTCCTTCCAACAGGAAAAAATTTTCCTTCCAACAGGAAAAGTTCTTCCTTCCGACAGGAAAAGTTCTTCCTTCCAACAGGAAAAAATTTTCCTTCCGACAGGAAAAGTTCTTCCTTCCGACAGGACACAAACGAATGTCCCACGTCCCACCAACCCAGTCCATTCCCAAACCAGAGGAACCTAAAGAACCACAACAGTCTCCTCAGCAACCTCAGTTCCAGCAAGTACCTCCACCAAATTACTACCAATTTCCACCTCAAGGTTACTACCCACCACAAGGCTTCCCGAACTACCCTCCTCTGCCTATGCCTTACTTCCCCAACCCTTGGATGTTCCAGCAAGCTCCACCCCAGCAATTCCAATCTCAGTCCAAATCGAAGAGAGACCAAGAGTTCGAAGAAGGTCTGAACCGCTTACGCAAAGAGTACGCTACAGCCCCTATTGAGAGAAAGTTGTTCCCGGACCAAAAAATATAATTTAGGGTAGAAGGTTAGATCTAACCTCTTTTCTACCCTCTTGAATTTTCATGATTTCATCGTAAATGTTTTGTCAAGACTTCTTCGTATATGTTTTGTCATGACTTCATCGTACATGTTTTGTCAAGACTTCTTCGTAAATGTTTTGTCATGACTTCTTCGTAATGAGCGTAAAGGACCCAAAAATATAATTTAGGGTAGAAGGTTAGATCTAACCTCTTTTCTACCCTCATTTCACCTCATGAATTTTCATGAATTTCCTTAAGATAGAAAAAATAAAGTTAGTTTTATTTTGTATTTTTTTGTATGTAAGATATGATTTCAGGGATTTTTTTGACGAAGTGTCAATGTTCACTTCGTCAAAAAATAACAGTTATCTAATGAAAAAGTGTCATTTTATTTTTTTATTTTGTATGTAAGATATGATTTCAGGGATTTTTTTGACGAAGTGTCAATGTTCACTTCGTCAAAAAATAACAGTTATCTAATGAAAAAGTGTCATTTTTTTGTATTTTTTTGTATGTAAGATATGATTTCAGGGATTTTTTTGACGAAGTGTCAATGTTCACTTCGTCAAAAAATAACAGTTATCTAATGAAAAAGTGTCATGATTTCATCGTAAATGTTTTGTCATGACTTCATCGTACATGTTTTGTCATGACTTCATCGTACATGTTTTGTCAAGACTTCTTCATCGTAATGAGCGTAAATGTTTTGTCATGATTTCATCGTAAATGTTTTGTCAAGACTTCTTCGTAAATGTTTTTTCACCTGTTTTTTCTAACCTCTTGAATTTTCATGAATTTTCCCGAAATAAAAAATAAAGTTAGTTTTATTTTTTTTATTTTTTTTATTTTGTATAGAAAAATAAAAATGTCAACAATCGGCACAACAACACTTCAAACAACTACAGCACCAAACTCGTTAGTCATGAATCCAACATCTATGTTAGTAGAGATGAAAAGCTTCATTCCTTCTTCATATACTTTTGAAACAGAAATCCAGAAGATAAAGCAAGAACTTTTAACATGTAATTTAGACTGTAGTGCGAAAGATGAAACAAATGAACAGTATCTTTATGAAATGCAGGACCTCATCGACCATTTGCCTAAACTACCTGAAATTCAGCAACAAAAACTAACCATTCCTGAATTTGACGAAATTGAAGTCAAAGCAACTGACTCAGTAGAAATAAAGAAGTTCATTCGTAAGGTAAATTCTGAGTTTCTAGGATTTCATTGCAACCATAAGGTTATGGACAAAGATTGCGACATGGTATATAAGAATGTTTCTGACATATATAAATCTGAAGAATTTAAGACCTACGACAACTTTGTTTCGTTAGTTGCTGAATGTGTATGGCAGATAAGAGATAAAGATAGAAGAGGGAAGGTATGGAACAAACAGATAAAACCAGCAGCTTTTGAGATGAAGAAAACCATTGACGCTTTAGTTGTTTTAGCAGGTAAGGTTTCAGAATATAACGCAAAAATGAACCCGCAATGTTCAAAATGTAAGGCAGCAATGAGGAAATATAACTACTCCGTCAAAGAGATAGAACGTATGAGAAACGACTATGCAGACTTAAAGACAGATATGTCAAACATTGAGTTTGAAACAGTTGGAAAGATAGACAATGACACCAAAGTGGTTAGAATAGGTGATTTAAACGTAAGATACTCAAAGAAATACAACAAATATTCTTTGTCAGACATTTTATCTCCATTTGGAAAGAAAACAAACCACTGGGTTATAAATGCTTCTACTCAGAAAATTTTGACAAGAAATCCTGAGCTTATGATATCGGTAAAATTCTATGGAACTGCAGCATATCTTATAGACAAAAGTCTTATACCAATAGTTTTGTTATGGTTAGACCCAGTTGTTGGATATAACTTCATAACATATGGTTCATTCGATACGGAACGTTGCAGTGAAGGCTTACTTTACATCGTTCAGAAACCGAAGGACTTCAATACAAAAAGATATAAGATAGGAAGAACATATAATATAACTCTAAGATATGACAGTACAGTCAATAGAGTCAAGGTTGTGTTAGTTAATGATATGAGAGCTGCAGAAACAGAACTACTTGAAAAGTTTGAGAAAATGTATGGTGCTCCATAAAAGGTAAAGAAACGTTTGAAGTAGATGAGATAGATAAAGCTATAAAATTATTTGACGAAGTTGCTGAAAAATACATGTAAAGCGTTTATTTTTGGTCTTTGTGAAAGTCAGAAAATAAAGTTAGTTTTATTTTTTTATTTTGTATGTAAGATATGATTTCAGGGATTTTTTTGACGAAGTGTCAATGTTCACTTCGTCAAAAAATAACAGTTATCTAATGAAAAAGTGTCATTTTATTTTTTTATTTTGTATGTAAGATATGATTTCAGGGATTTTTTTGACGAAGTGTCAATGTTCACTTCGTCAAAAAATAACAGTTATCTAATGAAAAAGTGTCATTTTTTTGTATTTTTTTGTATGTAAGATATGATTTCAGGGATTTTTTTGACGAAGTGTCAACCTTCACTTCGTGTCATAATGTAAAAATAACGTTTACCATGTAAAACGGTTGTGAAAAAAAGAGGTGAAAAATTAGGTGAAAAAACAGGTGAGATCTCACCTCTTCACCTAAAATATATTTTTGCTGAAAAATGACCAAATTTCATGAATTTCCTCATATGCTTGCTTCCCTCGGAAAACCGAGAGAAGAGATTCCGTACGAAAATCATGAAGAACAGCGAGTAGGTAAAAAAACTTAGTCGCCAAAACTCTATGAAAACAGTGAAGAACAGCGAGTACGTAAAAAAACGTAGTCGCCAAAACTCTATGAAAACAGTGAAGAACAGCGAGTACGTAAAAAAACGTAGTCGCCAAAACTCTATGAAAACAGTGAATTTCCTTAAGATAGAAAAAATAAAGTTAGTTTTATTTTTATTTATTTTTTTATTTTGTATGTAAAGACAGATATGTCAACAACAGAGAACACAACAACAGTTATAGTCCATGAAGCCATAAATGAAGAATACGAGTACATACAGTTTAACAAACAACTCCGTCTCATTCGTTCGGTCAAAGACGATATGTACAAATGCAAAGTATTTTGACAGCATGTTTTGCTCCAGATACCAAACATAACAGACGATTGGTTCAAAAACCAAAGCACACAAGACTTTTGAAGCGAAGCACAGCGAGACCGACTTTTTTTCGGGGTCGCCTAAAACTCATGAAAATCGTAAAAATTTGCCAAATGGTTTGAGAGGTTGGTATGTACATAGACTTCTTGTAAATGCTGTTGCAATGTGGGCTTCGCCTCGTTATGCTTGGTATATTTACAGACTTCTTGACGAAATTCATAGACAAGAACGTGAAGAGATGGAAAAGAAACTTCAAGCAAAAGATGAAGTCATTGAAGCAAAAGACAAAAGCATTCAGAAAATACCACGTTCAGTACCAAAAGGAAAGGAAAAGAACTATAAGTATATGATTTATACTGAAGAGTTGGAGAAAGAAGAAGATAAAGATATGGTTATGTTGCATTTAGTCAGAAGAAACAACAAAGCTTTTACGACCTTGCTAAGATTTACAAATCTGACAGAAATTGGTTCTATCGCGAAAACTTACCGATTTCAATGACACCGAATGAAGATGTGAAACAAATAGTTCAAGATACGTTACTCAAACACACTATGATATGAAAGGTTGTACAATTTTTACCTTCAAAGAAGACTTACCGCTACTGAAAGAAAAAATAACAGAGTATTTTGACAACTTCAAACAGTAGAGTAAATGAACTCTTTATTTTTCAAGCTTGACTTTTTACAATTTGAACTTTGTTTCGCGTAGATATGAATTCTGAAAGAAGTATGAGGGTCTTGTATGACTTTGTACTTCTCCCATAGTTCATGTCTGTCAAACTTACCTGCCATGGACTCTTTTCATAAGTTCCATGAAATCGTCTTCGGACAATCCGGGAAAAGTATAATGTCAGTAAGTATTCTTTTAACATCCTTACTTAAACTCTTTGCTGCCTGTACACATATTACGACTGAGATGTTAAAGTGTCTGAGCTTCTTAAGAATTCGACACATATCTTGTTCTCTATTCTTAAGCAAAGGATGAGAAGCAAAGTCATCTAAGATAAGAAGACATCTATGAGGGTATGTCTTCCAATCGTAAGATTGCAATTTCTTCGAAATGTATTCTATCTCTTTCTGTTTGTTTCTGAAGTGTTTCTTCTCTAATATTCTCTGCATTTCCTCATTTGGGTCTTTGAACTTAGAATTTATATACTCATTTATACATTATACTTCAAAACTCTTCTTTGGTACTTCTTTATCCAATCTAACAACTCAGTATCCTTTATACATACTAACTTAGACTTCTTTATAATATCTTTGAACGAATTGACGGTTTGGTCAAATTGACAGAAGTACTACAAATGACAACTAACTCATAAAAATGGGTTTTCTCTCATCTAGTTCTTGTTGTTGTGCAGCCATTTTAAGATAAGTGAAAGTCTTACCCGACCAGGTGGTGCAATTAGACTGTTATACCATTCTGAGCAATAAGAACTTGTCATGTATGGGTTTTTATCTGAGCATTTTCTAACTTCCTCTTGTTCTTGTTTAAAACATTCTCAAATTTTTCTTGTCAATGTCAGCAAACTTTTTTTCTAACATATTTTTAGAAAAAATTAAAATTTTTATCTTTTAGAAAATGTCTAGCGATTTCGCTATCTATATTCGAGATAAGCTTTTCGACAGCAAAACATCTGTCGACCATAAAATCTTACATAGTGTAAACAGAAGGTGAATTTGTTCTAAAGTTCTGTTTCTGGGAATTTGACAAG